AAGGAAAGGAAAGGAAAGGAAAGGAAAGGAAAGGAAAGGAAAGGAAAGGAAAGGAAAAAATTCCATCACTTGTTATGTCTATTCTTACACATATTAAAGTGGCTTGTGCCATTTTTGCCTGGATAGTCCCAAAATCTTCAGATGCTGTAAATCATTGCTTGTTAGTTCAAACAGTATAGCCCTCCTACAGCTAAATCTGGTAGAAATATTCAGCAGAGGAAGCAGGAAAGGTACGATGTGTAAATTCTTTATTTTTCTCTCCTTCCTCTGTTTAAAGAATAAACGATTTAGATACAATCTACAATATTGTAGATACAAAGCAAACTTCACACTTGTTATTTGCTTTGTTTTTCATTACAGTCCTGATTTTGACAAAGAACAACCTTTTGAATCAAAGCTCCTGAGTCTTTATCCTGATTGGTATCCCAGAACTAAATGGAACTCATCTGGTATTCCTACTGGTGGGGAGGAAATTTGTTTGGCTTGTATTTTAGTGCAAATATAATCCAAATGTCCCAAATTATGACTCAACCTAGGACATAATTATTCTTCTGGTACTTTTGCAAAAGCTGAGATGAACTTTTTAAATCAGAAGGTGAATTAAATATATAAAGGAATATTTGTGTGTGTGTATGTGTATTATATATTTGCAGCTTTTGTCTTTCTTTCAATGTGTGTGCATTTTTGTATACATTTTCTCTCAAAAACATGCCATTTTCTGTATCTCTCTTAAATAGCATATTCTGGTATACATGCTTTATTATTTGTGGACTCTTATTAATGGACAGTCAAAACAGCAGAGACAAATACAGTAGAGATCTTCAGAACTATCATGCATTAACCTTTTACTTTAGAATTCCTTATCTGTATATTGGACTCCACCAGTTGCACCTCTCTTTATGTTAATATAGTTCCCTTTGCATGTATAATCTCTCTCTTCAAATGTTTTCCTCTGGTGGAATGTATTTTTCAAAGCACTTTTTGCTGTCTTCAATTCTCTTTCTCTAACATGAATGGCTCTTGCTGATTGCCCTTATGTATTCCCTGTCAGAATTACTTGCCTGTGGATCTTTGTCTTCCTGCTTTCCCTGTTTCTTAATCTCCAGTCTTGCAGCAGTGGCTGCCTGATTATGCCTTGAACCCTTCCATGAACTGCATCCCTCTAAATTTGTTATTGTCCCCAAATAGGACTTTCTAAAAGCCAGTTTTGATCTGTTTTAGAATCCTGTCTCCTGGAATGTTGCATCCCGAGATGCTTCTATCTCTGTTTTTCATTCCTCTTTATTCTTGTGGTTGAGCAAGCCATGTCCTGCACGATGTCCCCAGCTGTATCTACGAAAGTGCTGAACTTCATACTAATACAGCATATGCTGTTGCAGTAAGTAGCTGTTCTATTCAGGCTTGCATTTCAATGCTCCATTGAACCTGCTTTCCCGACATAGCCATCCCATAAACCAGGGTTCCTCAACCTCAGCAACTTTAAGATGGGTGGACTTCAACTCCCA